GATATGGATAGAACTAGGTTTTCATATATGAAAGTTTAGTATGGTGTCATACCAGGCATTTTTTAAGCACAATAGTAAAAGTATATTTAGTTTCTTTCTAGTTTTATTACTAATTTTTTATATATTTGTCTTACTCTAATTTAGCCAAGATTATAAAGAGCTGTTATTTAATACTCAACAGTATTTAATACTCAACAGGAAAATTTGTACAGGTCAAAAAGATAACAGAAGAAATTAATTTCAGTTTAACTATGTGCATTTCCATTTAACTAATTTGATCTTGTTTCAATGTTATAGTTTAGTTTTATTATAACTATATCAAATCAGTGGCGGATACAAAGGGGGGTAAAAGGGTAACTATTCCTGCTTCCCCTAAGAAATATCAAACTACAAAGTGTTATTGAAAAACTTGTAAAAGAAACAACAAAATAGAAAAAAATATTCTGAAGATATTCTGTAAATAGTTTTAAAATCTTTTTTTTTTTTTTTTTTTTGCAAAACTGAAACTATTTCATTGTATTACAAAAAAAATCAATTGTTGCTTTTTCAACATTTTTACGATATCGACGAAAAACGATTAAAATTTCTAAGAATTTTAATGTTATCATCACTCATTCATTCTATTATATAATTAGATAACAATAAAAAGCAATAGAGTTACTGTCGTTCTAATTTAAAAAAAATTTTAAACTGTAATTAAAAACTTTTGAAGAAAAAAGTTTACAGTTAATGTAAATGTAGATAAATCTATAGATTTGGTTTTAATTGTAATTTTTTTGTTTAATTTAATTTTAATTTGTAGTATAATTTATATACCCGAGGCCGTATTTAGTTAAAATTTTAATAAAAAAGTATTTATTTTGCAACAATTGAAATTGTAACACTTCAATTTAAACTATGAATATGTTTAATACTATTTTAAATAAATAAAAAATAATTTTCAATATTTTAAATGAAATTATTTTTATTACCTAAAACGACCAACAGGGTAAAAAGGACAAGCTCTTTAGATGACTATTTTGTCTAAAAAATTAAAATTCTACCAATACATAACCATGCTGGTCCTATCGCTTTGCTTTTATCTTCAGTGTCGTCATCCGAATGATTGTGTCTTTATTTTAGTTTCATTGTAATTTGATTATTTGGTGGGGCTGAAAATAATCAAATTACAATGAAACTTAGTCCTTTTTCTCCAGAGCCTAGACTTGGTATGGAAACTGCTAATTTTACAAGTAAAAAAAACACAGAAATTAATAAAGAAGATTTAATAACCACGATAAAAGATGATAGCTGTTTGCCTATAGGCATTGGAGCATTTTAACACGCCAGGTAACTGAACAAGATAAATACCGAATATTGAAATGCATTTGGTTTCCTCGTCCAAATTAAAAATATCCATATTCTATGTATAAAATACATAGAATATGGATATAAAATATCCATATTCCATATATATACACACACACACACGCATATATATATATATATATATATATATATATATATATACATATATATATATATATATATATATATATATATATATATATATATATATATATATATATATATATATATATATATATATATATATATATATATCTTCAGATAAACCACTTTTTATCATCATTTTCCACGGAAATTTATGTATATGTTTTTCGGAGAAAAAGCAATTAACATTCTTACCCTTCTTTAAATACATAGAATATGGATATTTGTAATTTTAACGAGGAAACCAAAGGCATTTCATTATTCGGTATTTATCTTGTTCAGTTACCTGGCGTGTTAAAATGCTCCAATGTCCAATAAAAAAACGCGGAATAAAAAAATAATTATTTAAAAAATAGAAACGAAAAAAATGTTACTGTTTATAAACAAAACAAAATCAGTTTTGAAAAAATTAAAAAAAAAATGTCTTTTTTTAAACAATTACAAAAGTACAATAGTAGTATTAAAAAAACATGGGAAATTATGAACGAAGTTATTGGAAAAACCAAAATTAAGCCCGAAATGTTACCCTCCAGAATTAAAGAAGATAGATTGGAGTATACAGATAAAAAAATCTCCTACATGTTTAATAATTTTTTTGTAAATATCGGTCCTAAACTGGCTTCCAAAATAAACTACTCGAACAATTCATTTAATAACTATTTTACTGACCATTCTAGTTCATTCTCTGAGAGTGACCTAAATTCTGAAGAATTTGAGAAAGCAACAAAATCAATTAGAAAAAACAAAGCTCGGGCATCGACGACATTTCTAGCAATATAGTATATGATATTTTATACATTTTAAAAGATCCTCTTTCAAAGGTTTTCAAGTCATCAATTAGAACTGAAGTTGTTCCAAACAAATTAAAAGTTGTGAAGATTTTACCTATATTTAAAACTGGAGACACAGCCTTGCTAACCAATTATAGATCTCAATTCTTCCAGTGTTTTCCGAATTCCTGGAAAGAATAATGTACAACCGACTTTATAAATATTTAACAGCCTAAGTGAATGTCAATACGGCTTTCAAACAAATCATTCTACGGAACATGCAACCTTAGATCTAATGGACAACATTAGATCTTCTTTTGATAAAGGAAAATTTGTATTGGGAGTTTTTATTGATCTTACAAAAGCTTTCGATAATGTCAACAATAAAATTCTTTTCGACAAAATGAGAAAGGAAGGTATAAAAAAACCAAACAATTAAATGGTTCACTACTTATTTAAATAAAAGACAACAATGTGTTATAATAGACGGTATCACTAATACAAAGTTATTAAAAATAAAATGTGGTGTCCCCCAGGGATCTAATCTTGCACCTTTATTATTTCTTTTTTACATTAACGATCTCCCTAAAGCCTCTACAAATCTCAATTGTATAATGTTTGCAGATGATACCAATCTGTTTTACTCATCTACCTCTATCAATGATCTTTTTGATAAAGTCAACATCGAGCTTCAAAAACATAAAACATGGTTCAGTGCTAACATGTTATCATTAAACGCACAAAAAACTAAATATATTTTATTTCACCCAAAGAAACAGAAAAATAAACTACCATTAATTCTACCCTCACTAAGTATCGAACACAAAAAATTAAAAAAACCCAATCAATTAATTTCTTGGTGTGATTATTGACAAAAATATTTCATGGACAGCCCATATAAATGCCAACAACACTAAAATATCTAAAAGTATTGGTATACTTTTTAAAGCTAGACCATTTTTATCACAAAAAAACCTAAAACTTCTTTACTTTTCTTTTATACATAGCTATCTCACATATGCCAACATTGCTTGGGGAAGCACGCACAACACAAAGCTAATGTCTCTTTATCGACGACAATAACATGCCTCTAAAATAATACATCTAAGAACAAACTGACCCACGCTAAAAATTAAAAGAAATGAAAGCCCTAAATATTTATCAAATTAATATCTATGCTAATATATTGTTTATGCTAAAATACAAATTAGGGTTAGTTCCAAACCGATTTACAGAAAATTTCTTTAAATCTAATATCAACAAATTCAATTCAAGAGCAACTGGTAACTTTATTGTACGCCGGAAAAGACAAAAAAAATCTCAATTTTCTATTTCTTATCGCGGCTCTTATTTATACAACAAATTAATTTCGAATTATACATCAATTTCTCTTGCTGACAATATAAGTTCTTTAGAGTCAAAAACAAAAAATCATGTTCTCAATACAGATAATTACTTACAAATGTTTTAGTTCAAATGATAAACTAATATTTACGCTCACATTAAAACAACCAACCACAACACTAACACCATACATAGTATAATAAAAAGAAAAAAAAAAATCTACATCAATAACATTTAAAATATTTGTTTTATGAGAATCATAATGTATATATGTGCACTTTATGCAATACCCCAAGGTTCTCGATGATAAGACTAATCTCAGTCTTCTTCGAGTTTCCTACAACAGTCAAAACCCTTATCAAGTCATAGCATTTTTAATTATTGCTTCCTATGTTTATCTTAAGGGTGTTATGTAAAATATTATTTTTTTTTGCATTGGAAGTATATTTAGTTTATGTTATTGCAGTGTAAAAAAATTTGTGTGTGTGTGTGTGTGTATACATAGCAATTAAGAGATTGAAACATAAATATGTATATTTAAATCGGTGAATGTTAAAAGGGCGGAAGTCCAACAATGTAAACTTTTGGGAAACTAAAAAAAACTGTGTTTCCCCCCATAATAAAATTAAAATAATAAAAATTTAAGAGTTTTTTTTTAAAGATTAAAAACGTTATCCTCTTCAGAAAAAAAGTTATTAAACCATAAACAAAAATTTGCTATGAGAGAAAATGCAGTTTTTCTTTGATTTCCGATAATTTACATTGTTGGACTTCCGCCCTTTTAACATTTACCGATTCAGTTAATATGTTTGTTTTTATTTATGATTACATTTAATTTTGTTAAACGTTTATAAAAAATTCACAAAAAATTTTTTTTATTCCATAAGATGTCCACACACTTTGTAAAACATTAGATCCTCTAAAAGTGTTTTTACTATCTGAATGTCTACTTCAGTATTCCAATGTTTTGGAATAAACTGAACCCGATAATCAGTTAGCAAACAGCTCTTTGTAGTGTATTACAACCTCGGAAACAACTGGCAATTTTTTTAATCATTTATTTCAGCAAAGTTTTCTCTAAAAAATATGAAGTTCCGCGCAAAGCATAACAGTGTTTTGGGTTAACCAAGATGGCGGCTGACTTTTAAAACTGGCTTCATCGCGTTTTATATAAATTATATACTAAGGCGTCTGTTTATTAAACCTTTTTGGTTCTACACAAAACATCACTAATGATGTTATACTGAAATAGAATTTATACTTTCAGCACATGGATTGGGTAAGAGTTTGGGTTTGATTTGGTAGTATTTCTAAATGAAAATTGTTTACGGCAAAAACAACTTTTATATATTTTTGTAAACAAGTTTTTAATTTGTGCATGTGTTTGTGTCATAGCTCAATGGACAGATTGGAATCATAATTGTAAAAGCATATACCAGACAAAGTTTATTGATCATGAATTAATGATTTGTCAAAGTCAAGGTTTGGAATATTTATTTGTTTAATTTTTTTCTAAATAACATTTTGTTGTATAAAAAATAATATTTTCCAACATTTTATTTTATAAAATAAAAATTTAATACAAATATAATATTTAATATATAACAAGATAATAAAAAAACATATTATTTTCCAATATAAAAATTATAAGCGTAGTTTTTTCTAAAACAAAAGTTGCGTTAAATATAAAGATAAATAAACAATAATTATTTTATTAGTTATATTTATTGAAATGAAAAAAAAAAATTGGTTACAAATTGGTAAACGAATGAGATATAAGTGTAGTTTTTACAAATGATCTAAAATGGAATTATCAAGAAGTTGCAAGCTGCTCTGAAGAAAACTTTTTAATGATATCTTAATATAAGGGAGGATGGGTATGAGTGAGCCACTTTTTTTTTAAATCGATTATATCAAGGAAACCAAAAGTAGAAAATGTATAGAATAAGGAGCCTAAGGTAGCCTAAAGTATTAGGTTTCTAATAGTAATACATGAAATATCAAAATATCTTCAGATTTTTAATAACTTGAGCAATAACACAGGTGTTGCTACTGGTTCACTCCTACCCATGCATGGCTAGAAGTGAACCAAACAAATGGTAGGAGTGAGCTATTATCATCTTTGATTACCAAAAAACTGAAACTACATAATTTCTTTAACTAATTTATTAATAATTAAGTAAGTAACAAATACTTTATAATTAAGCATAACATAATTAAGTAATTATGTATCATAAATAAAAACAAATTTAACACAATTTTAAATTCATTTAATGAAATAAACAAAATGTATAAACTACCACAAAAATAATTTGTTTTCAGTAACAATTGATTTTGACAACAAAACAAAAAACTGTCATGACAAATGATAATTTTCAAATATTAAAACTAATAAAAGTATATATATATATATATATATATATATATATATATATATATATATATATATATTATATATATATATATATATATATATATATATATATATATATATATATATATATATATATATATATATATATATATATATATATATATATGTATATATATATATATGTATATATATATATATATATATATATATGTAATGAAAGTAGTATATTAACATATAGTATTGGCAATAAAAATAATATTTAACAAATACTAATATAGTCAAATACAACCTAAAATTTGTTATGGCAATGCTGCCTTTTACTTGTTCCAGAAAAAGTTGGTAGGTAGCAATTTTTTGGAGGTTTCGGAGGTTTTGGAGATTTTGGAGGTAGCAATTTTTTGGAAATTGTTGCAGTTTCTCTACAACTTTTTCCTTTTTAGATTAAATGTAATGCATCTTTCATATCTTTACTGGAAGTTTTTGCTTTCGAAGTTGTACTTTTATAGAGTCGAGGCATTTTAACATATGGTAAAAATAAATGTAATATTGCACACGAGTTTTCTAATAATGTACTAAGATATAAAAGTCAAACGTAAATATGTTTTTACGCCGAAGTCAAAAATTTTTTAAAGTAAAGTATTAGTGAGCCGCGGTTCACTCCTACCCGGAAAGGAATGGCTCATTCCTCCCAAGCTCTACAACTGGATTAAAACATTAAATGTGTAATAAGTACGTGTTTTATGCATGCAAAATACTTTGTTCTAAAAACTACATTGTTTATTAGTAAATTTTGAACCACTATCTAATGTTTCAAAACAACTGGTATGCTTGATAAAGAAGTTTCAAAAAATACAAAAAATTTACTTTTGCTCAGAAAAGAGTGGATGACAATGTAAATGCAGACACTCGCACCAAGAAGCGGTAAAAAATTGGATTGTGTTAACAACAATTTGTATGTAACTACTTGGTGAAAATTTTGAGTCTTTTTCATTTCCCGTTTTAGCTGTAGGATCAACGATTCACTCCTACCCTTAGCTCACTCCTACCCAATCATTAAACATTCTTTTGTAGGTTTTGACTAAAAGTTTTCATATTAGAGCTGTTGTGATTAATCATTTTAAGAGGTTTTTGATTATTAACTAATTGGCTACAAAAAACAAACGATTATTCGATTATTAACTGATTAATTTATCAAAAATAAAAATAAAGATGTTTTTCTTTGACTACACATTGAATAATATTACTCAAGTTTGCTTTTTTGTATTAATTTATTTTGGTTTAAAGTAATAAACAGTCCAATGTTTAAAATATTATAATGGTTATGAATGGTGAAGAAATTTAGTTTATAAAATTGAATAAACATAATAAGTTTATTAATTAGTTTGTAATTCATTAACCCCTCAACCGTTAATGACGTATATATATACGCAAGACAAAACCCGCTGGGAAGTTGGCTAGCGAATAGCTAGCTATAATCGTTACAATAAAGACAGCAATTTGCCAACGACGATCGCTTTTTTAAGTTAGCGAAAAGCTATCGATATTTTTAAAGATAAAGACAGCAATTTTGCTATGAGGACAGCTAGTTTAATAAGCTGAAGATCCACTAGCGATTGTACCTAGCGTCATATCGTAATAAAATCGTTGTCTAAAAAATTTTGATATGTAGCTATCAACCAGCTATAGATTTGTAGATATTTTGTAGCTAGCTGCAAAGCTACAATATTTAGCTAGCGACACATTGCTACAAAATTGCAATGTTTAAAGTTCAATTATTTTCATAACTATATTAGACTCACCATTAAATTCGAATTTTTAAAAATAAAGACATTTGCAAAAAATAAAATAAGAAAAAAAAAATTGCTTCAAAATCGCAATAGAGCTAGCTAGTCGCTAGCTAGTCGCTAGCTAGTCGCTAGCTAGTCGCTAGCTCATTTCCCACCGGGAACTTTCAAAAAACGGCGTTGACGTATATAAACGCAAATATTTGTTTGAAGAAAACAATACCGAATGATAAGCAGTAAAACCAGTCTTATATTTTAGAACATTCTTCTACAGAAATTTTAAGCTCATAATGGCAATTTTTGTAAAAGTGTAACTGATTTAATATGAATTATAGTAAACACTGTTTTAAATTAGAAAATTGTGAAAAAAAAATGTAGTTATGCAAACTTGAACTTAACATAAGATATTGTTAATATTATGCTTGAAAGTGACGATGGAATTTTAGACTTTAGTGATGGTGACCTTGATGATATTATAGGATGGCACAGACATATTCAGTGAAAACGACAGCGATGATGTTAAAAAATTATCAGTTCCTGAAATCAACGAAATAATTGTTACCCAGCATGTTTCTTTCGTTGTTCTAACTCGTAAAAGCAAATGACTGTAAAAAAAAAAAAAAAATTTTGTTGGATAAACAGTAAATCTGTATTAGGTATATGCAGGCAAATCTTACATTGTGATTTATGTATCCATTAGTCTGTAACACCACATAACCGGCTGGAGATTTTTGAACTCTTATTCACAAGTGAACTTGTAGATATGACAGTAAACATGACAAATAAAAATTCAGATCAAAGCAATATAGGTCAAGTGGATTCTAAGTCTATCCATATCTGAAGACAGTTGATAACATTCAAAGGTAATTTGGTGCGCTAATATACTGTGGCTCATTACAAAAAAAAAGTGATGTTCGATTATAGTTTTACCAAGGTTTGAAAATTATCATATTGTATTAAAATATTACTTCTAAATTGTAGTAAGGTCTATTTAATATATTATGGATTTAATTAAACTTTTAATACAGTTTACTAATATTTCTTACTCTTTTTGTTCATTTTATATAATACTTACATTTAAAAAAAAATTAAACTGACGCTGGAGCTATTGCCGACCAAAATTTGGTGACGGTTAAAGGGTTAAAGTTAGTAAAAAATAAGGAAGTTTCAAATGTCTTAACATAATAATATGTTGCAAATATTCAAACTATTTGCCAGTTTTTTTCACTTATTTTAATTCCATTAAAATTTTTCCAATACCAATAATTAGTTTCCTAAAAAAGGTTGTTTGAACATGTAAAACTTATTTTATTAATTGTTTTTAAAAACTGTCATATAAAAAAACAACCAAAAGAAAAGTTTATAAAAAAATTATTAGCTATGCATTTATACTTTGTTTTTGTCACGGTTTTCTTATTACTTTTGAAATTGCGGTTGGTAGGAGAAATTCTGTCAAAGAAAAATTTACTTTTAATGAATTTGTAAAACTTTATATATCAGCTTATCAGGTTTTTTATAGTAAAAAATACCAATTAAAAACATTTTCTTTAAGCTTTTCATGAGTGTTGCGTAATTAGGCAATAATATTTAAAAAAACCTCTTAATAAGATGGGTTTACGCTTTTATCGTTCACTACTTAAAATACTTTTATTTTTGTTTACATTCATAAAATACTTAACCTGTGATACTTGAAACAAACGTATACAAAACAATGCACTCATTTTTACCTGACATTCTTTTAGTTAATGATTAAAAATTTGTATATAATTCGTATAAAATTGTTTAAGTAACATTAAGTAGCGCTTAAGTAACATTAAGTAGCGCTTAAGTAACAATAAATAGCGCTTAAGTAACATTAAATAGCGCTTAAGTAACATTAAATAGCGCTTAAGTAACATTAAATAGCGCTTAAGTAACATTAAATAGCGCTTAAGTAATATTAAATAGCGCTTAAGTAACATTAAATAGCGCTTAAGTAATATTAAATAGCGCTTAAGTAACATTAAATAGCGCTTAAGTAACATTAAATAACTTACATCTCCCGCCCCGTCTTTCCTATTAGCATTTCTAATAATGATAGAAAGATTTATAGTTATTAGGAATCATAATATTATAGTTATTAGGAATCATAATCATAGTCATAGAATGCTGGTGTAGAAAGTATTTTTAATCTGTAAGCCCTATCTCTTATTCAAACAACATATGCATTGATTATCTTATGCTTAATTATTCTTGTCATTATACTTATTTTTTAACTAATTTTATAAAACATATTACAAAAACATCTTAATTAAAGTTAACTTAACAGCTTAATTAAGCAGTTC